ACTTATAATAATTTAACATAATACTCTTATTTAATATACATTTTAATCTTATCTCTGATACGTTATCTACCAGACAACCTCTGGATATACTATTTAAATACAAGGGGTCGAACCGACATACAAACGGAATAAATAAATCTTGGCGTTCATTCATGAGTGTTATCCGGAAATTACTGGACAGAATTTGATCAAAATCACACGTACACACATAACAAGATGCATAGATATGCATATATTTTTTTTTAAGGGGGGAAAATCATCGAATGACTGCTCCCGCCTGGGGAGGCGGGACGGAGTGTCAGACTCTTACTGACTAAAAACCACCCCGTTCCTTCTCCTGCACGTCGAGCCGGAGCCCCGGTTACCCGTTAGGTTCTCCGCGACTGCATAGATATATTTACTGTATTATTTCAGTATACGAAAAAGAGGTTTTCAAATTTTCCATATTATCATACATATTAGTTGTCCCCGGACTGCCTCGTTGGCCGAGTGGTCGCAAGTGCGACTCCAGGCAAGGGGTAAAAATTTCAGTAGTAGCATGGAGTCTGGAAATGTGCCCGGTATAAGGCAATAGGCTCACCCCCTATTATATGGGACTCATAACATAAATAGTGAAATGTGGGTGTTACATTGTACAGTTGCATTAAGTGCCGCAATGTCCACCTCTGCCTACCCCTTCGGGAAGAAAAAGGCGTGATGTTATGTTGTCTTGCTCGTTGCCATAAGAAAAAAGAATCAATTGGCAAAAATTTAAAATGTGTCGTGTGTAGGTTTACAAATATACAAGTTCACATACACATGACACCCAGACCCGGAACAACAATCTGTGGATTACACAAAGAGTTGTTCCGTGCGGAACCCGCGACACGTTGTGCGGCAGCCAGTTGCCGTGCAGTCGACAATTTTTCTATTCAGAAATCTTTTCTTGGAATTCTTTTTTCTTCGAATTCATAGATAGTTAAAAGTTTAAACTAAATATCATTGTAGTCATCGGCCCTGAAAATATTTCAGTTGTGACGTAAACCATCATTTTCCGACGTTGTCTCAACATTTGTCCGAAAATATTTCTCATATTTATCATCATAAATCCCACATAGATTCGTTCGGAGAGAAAAGTGACTAACATTGTAATATGTAGTAGATACATTATCATCATCATCATCATCATCAACAGTCTATAAATGCCCACTGCTGAGCAAAGCCTCTTCTCACACGGAGTTTTGAGTATTAACCACCATGCTTGCTCATTGCGGGTTGGCGATTTCAAACTTATAACTACAAATTATCAGTCCAGGTTGCCTCACGATGTTTTCCTTCACCGTTTGTCAGTGGTGTCTAAGTAATCTCAGAAAGTACGTATACCTCGTAAAATGTCACATTGGTACTTGCCGTTGGTAGGTTTCGAACCAGCGCCCTCATGCATGAGAAGCGGGCGTCTTAACCTCAGGGTCATCACGACCTATCACTATTTCTGATGCCGATACGGAGCCGCGGAAGACTTAACGGGTTGCCGGGGCTCCGGCTCGAAGTGCAGGAGTAGGAACGGGGTGGTTTTTATTCAGTAAGAGTCTGACGCTTCCGCCTCACCCAGGCGGGCGAAGTCATTGGATGGCTTTCCCCCCTCAAAAAAGTAAGCTATTTTTAGACATATATAGTATGTAGAGTTTATTAATATCACCCTTTTTCACGTACTAAAAATATTAACAATACAAAATTCCTTCTTTAATGTTTCATTTTTATAATATCTTATAACTTTGTGGTAACAATGAAGAAAGCTATTTTCGCGTTTCTGATCCTTTTTATTAGCTTTTTATTATAGAAACTCACTTTGGATTAAATATGTATACATACATAACTTCTCGCCTGTCTCCCGTGGAGGTAGGCAGAGAATATGGAACGCCAATTGCTACGATTCCCACCTTTTTCGCTTCATCAACAATTATCAATCTTTTCATGCAAGCTCGTCGGTGTTTCGTGGATTAAATATATCAAAAAATTGTGAAAATGGCGTGCTCCCGTATCGTATTTAGTGTCACTGAAACAATGAAAGATTTTAATGACATGGGAGGTCTAAATTCCAGAAAACTCTAATTTGAAAACAACGAGGTCGAAAATCCGCCTGACATTTCACTCGAAACCTTATATTTGACGGTTCCATTCACACATAATGGACCTTAATAATGCGAATTAAATAGAAGAAATATTCAAATCTTTCCTCTACAATATTTGTACTACTTACTAGAAATTTAAGCTTAGGATACACTCAGGGACAAAATATCCCAAGACGTGTATCAATGACATGCCAGCCGATGTAGCTTGACGTAATATATGGTGACAACGCGCAATTGATGTCCACAGAGCAGTTGATGTGGCCAGATAACATATCATCATAACACATCACGCCTTTTATCCCCGAAGGGGTTGGCAGAGGAGCACATTAGGGCTCTTAATGCCACTGTACAATGTAATAGCCACTTTTCACTATTTATATTATGAGTCCCATGTAATAGAGGGTGAGCCTATTTCCATATACTGGGCACGATACCAGACTCCATGCTACTACTGAGATTTTTTTTATAAAAGTCCAGTAATACTTTAAATCGAATTCAATCTTTAAATCGATACTCTTGCCTAGCAGTCGCACTTGCGACCACTCGGCCAACGAGGCAGTCGTTGACAGATATGTCAACTAAAGTACGGCAACATGGCGCTCCTCCACCCGACGTCGCTGGCTACACGTGTCGTAAGAATTTGTCCCCTAGTGTACATACCCTTGGCTTTATACATCTCAAATACTCAATGAATACATACGTCATCACATAACTTCTGAATGAAGCCCAAATTACACTCAATTGAACTCAGTCAACGTCAGTGAATGAATTACAGTATACTATACTATATGACATAGTATCTGTGAATGACTCATCATTCATATATTTGGGCGTGTGATAAATTTATTTAGATAGGTAGGTATAAGATTATTATTGACGGAAATTGAAGAGCGTGATGTTAATTTCGTACATCTGAAAAAAATATGAAATCAATCGTTTCGTGTATAATATTATGTTGTTTAAAACAAAAGCACCAATTCTAATAATTAAGTAATTTGAGAAATAATGTTCTTTGATAGAACACTTAGATGGGTTTTACATTTTAAAATTACACAAACAGATTCTATTTAAATTATAAAAACTATTACATAAATAGTGAAAAGTGGGTTTTACATTGTCCAGTGGTATAATGTGCACCTCTGCCTACCCCTTCGGGGATAAAAGGCGTGATGTTATGTATGTATAAAAACTAAGAAAGTAGGTACCTAGGGACATAAATTCTAATTTTTATATATCAGTTCCAATTTTCAGAGAAGCATATTAAACTAATTTAGTTAACACACGTGGTAACGAAAATATATCCAATCAGACAAAATGTTACAAGAATCGTTGATGATATAAACAATTCTGTGAATTCCTATATACACAATACTACTCAAAATATTAATATGATCGCGCCTTGGTCCCCAAGGGATCAACTCGACGAGTCTAAAATAAATATCGGAGATAACTGTGCGTCCCACACAATGTCCAGTCTAATACTTTTTATGGCATAAGCCGGTAAACGAGCCGACGGATTACCTGATGGTAAGCAATTGGCGCCGCCCATGGACACCTGGAACACCAGATGAGTTCGATACGCACCTGGCGTTGTTGGATTGGAGATGGGGGTGTCCAGTAACATCACTCACTAGCGAAACACATCGCAAGCGTTGCTTCACGTCGGTTTTCTGTTCGGCCGTAGTATCACTCCGGTCGAGCCGGCCCATTCGTGCTGAAACATGATACTCCCATGTGTATACTATTTTGTTATAAAGTTAATTTAGTTTGTTGTCAGTTTTTCGATCTCAAAATTCTCATTATCTGTAGAGTGAGTTTGTTGAAAATAGGTTTCTTGTTGCTATGCGACTTTTGACTATGATTAGTAGGACGTTTCTATGATATAAATAAGCATTTATATGTCCCTTTGGAGGTTGAAAGTTGTATATGCCTTACTTACTTACTTACTTGCCTACTTTGATGCTGACTCGGCAATCGAAGGAAAATGTATTTTATCGAACACTAGCGACCCGCCCCGGCTTCGCACGGGTGCAATATGCATGTATTATACATACAAACCTTCCTTAAGAATCACTCTATCTATTAAAAAAAACCGCATCAAAATCCGTTGCGTAGTTTTAAAGATCTAAGCATACATACGGACATACAGCGAAAGCGACTTTGTTTTATACTATGTATTGATTTTGTATAACTGAAAACGTGATTAATGGATACTGCCTCATTGGTTGAGTACTAGCCAGTGCGACTACCGAAATATGGGTCTCAGGTTCGTTTTTCTAAAGTCTAATTTTATAGACTTTTTTCGGTATCGCGAAAATTTCCTGGTAGGTCAGCACGGGGTTTGAAATTGTATCCAACAAACAGCAGTAAGACCAGACCCTATTATATGGGACTCATAAATAACTTGAAAAATTGGGTTACATTAAATATAAGCCCCTCTGCCTATCCCTGTAAATAAATATACTTTAATCCAAAGTTCTATTATCTGTATGAGAAATCAGAGAGCCCGCTCATCCACGACTAGTCGACATATGTTTCGAATATAGTCCAAGAGTCGTACATAGGAAGACTAATTGTGTACCTCTTCCAATTATTGTAATCAGCTGCGTCTATCTAGATTCTAGATAGATTGGAAACTGAACTATGAGGTGAATGATTGAGAGAACTATAGAGCCAGAAATTAAAACTCTGTGTCAGTATAAGATCTTTCGAAACTTCGACTTTTAAGTTCTTTTGTCAAAATGGAGTTTGGATTTATAATCGATGTTGGGCATAAGGTTTTTTAGTTATAATGTAAACGAAAAGTATTCGTTTTGCTCATCTCTGACTTACCACTTTTGATTTTAATGTTAAGTAAGATAACACAAACCAAATAAGAAAATATTTTTTTATTAACAAAATAATTATCTTTTTTTCAGGCTGCATTCAAATACTCAACTAGCGACATCTTTTATCGGATAGCAACAATGATGAACTCACTTTCGCTACTCGCCGCTGTCTTCGTGTCGCTACTGTGCACTTTCGCGAGCGCCCATGTCGCGGACAGTAGAAAAGGATTAGATAACAATATACAACCTAATGGTAAGTTTTATTTGATTTAATGTATTACTATTTTGTTGCTCTGTATAGTACCTAACTTCATATGACTGTAATTTGAAGAATGTTAAAAAATAATATTTTCGTCAAATGTTCCTAATTCACAGACAATAGTTTGCAAAATCTGTCTACTCTGGACAATGATAGATCATGTAAAAAATAATGCATTGAAGCAGTAGAAACTTAATAACAAATGCAACAAAAAATAATGTACATAGTACACTGTAATTAAAATCACTTCTACCCAAAAAACATCCAAATTCACTTACGTACCCTCTACACTTATAAATAGGATAGTGACAGAATCATAGTATGCGCCAAAAATACGGGTCAAGATATTATTTTTCATCAAAAATGGCGCCTAAATGAAATCATCGCCATTTTCAGATTGATTTTGTATTGAAATATTCAGCTTCTGTTGACTTTCATGATTTCCCTGTCGCCATTGGGATTTAAGACCTTTTGCAACCGATTCAATGTGACTGGTTCATATTTAAAATGGTAATCTTAATGGGGCTTTTTTAAATGAATAAATGACTGAATAAATGGAAAAGTCGTAAAAAAATCGTAAACTATTCGTATAATCGTAAAACACTAAGAGCCAGTTTCAGGATCTCTGATGAAATTTTTGTTAACACAATTAAAGTGTATTTTTTTTATGAAATAATTTCAAATACGTGTCGGTTAAGATTATTGCAATTTCATCAGACATTGTGATGTCGAAAAACCACAAAAAAAACACTTTTTCGAGCTTCACTTTTCGTGTAACAACATCCTTAATTTCATAATAAAATTAAAAAAAAACAACCATACCTATTCAATTACCTGAACTGAAAATATAAGTAATTCACTCCATACTAAAAAAAAAACTCAATAAAAAACCAATATCGAATAAAATATTCATCAACACACATAAAAATCTAAGAAAAAATCATGCTAACACGAAAAAAACTGTTTTATTCAAAACTGGTCAAGATCTACATACATAGGTACAATCTCAATGTATTCTTTGAAATAATTAATTTTACTTTGTAATTCTCTAGTGTGGATGGAGACGGCTTTGATTTACAATTCAATATGTTACTGTTCGAACCGTACACTATGAAACTGTAGTATAACTATGTATATCTACATCTTATTGGAACATTATTCCTTATAATATAAAATTTGAATGTAAAATTCTTCCGTCTGCCCCAAAATTTGACATGCATGTTTTAGAACCCATTCGTTTCATGCTACATTATCTACTTTTAGCGTTTTTTAAGACAATGATATAGATTTTAATAGTAAAACGAAATGTTGTTTTAAAAATAAGCTAATTTCTAAATGTAGCAATGTCAGGTACAAATTGTGAGTCTTATCAAATTACTTCATTATTCAACAAATAGACTAAGCCTCTATGACCATCGTATAGTATGAAAACTGCCTGTAATATGCTGACCTATAATCTGATTAACTGAATAACCTGCCCAAGATTTCATTACTCTTATTGAGCCCTTCTCATCGCCAAACTTGTGGATTCCAGCAGCCACACCCAAGAGGAAACACTTAAGGGATATGGTGCGCATCAGGAACGCTCCTCCAGAGACTGTGCAACTTGAACCTGGTTCGCGACTGGTGCTGCAGTGTGACGTCTTAGGGAAACCAGCGCCGAGCGTGCAGTGGCTGAAAAATGGAGAGCCTGTTATGGATGTAAGTATTAAATGACTTTTAAGGATTATTTCACTTGACTACCTCATTAATTAAGTTACTAGTGTAACTACCGATTTATTGGTTCTGGGGGAAGTAGAACAAAGCCTGAAATTGTGTTGTGTAAGATATTAGTACACCCATTACAATTTTATAACATAAACGATAAAAGCTGAGTGCCACATTTGATCCATTTATCCTTTGAGAAAACAAGGGAATAAAAAAGCTTCAGCGCGCTCCTTAAACTCAGTGTTTTATAAGTTATTCCTATTTTCAGTACGAAGTGGAAAGCAACGACATCCTCCCCGCTCATCCGTCAAGCCTTGCGCTCCTCACCAGCAAACTCGTAGTGAGGTCATCAGCCAACGGTGACGTGTACACGTGTGTGGCAACCTCTGCACTCAACCAAAAAACTGCTTCCACTACCGTTTTGACTGTTGAAGGTAATTATTGTAATCAAAATATAAAACTTTGCAAAACTTTTATTAATCAACGCCATCTAGTGTGCCTGCATATTACTTGAAGTTCTACTACTCGACAACAGATGGCGCTGTACTACCATTCATTTTCTTTTTATCTGTTTCTTTGTTATTTAATTTTAGTAACAAGTAAAATAATAATTACTTATATAATTAATGACAATATTAATCATTTAGATCTCTTTTTTACAGGAAATGACGAAGAAAACCTACTAATCTTAGAGAAATTATTCCGTATGCCTACTAAGCCAGTGATCACCACTTTTTACACGAACATCTTGCAAGACATTGGCTCTGAGCTGATCCTGCCCTGCCGAGTGGATAGCAACAGCGAGTCCCAGGTCTTCTGGCACCAGAACAACGAACTTATCTTTGATAACTCCAGGATGCGGGTAAGATTACTTGTACCCTCTAACTGAACATGTTTAATTCAAAAACAAAATGAGTTAATGAAAAATATAATTTGTAACACACATTTTTATATAACATTATCGAAACTTCCATTGAAATTAAAAAAGCAATAACAAAATTTAAAAATAGTTTTCTCTAAACACAACATAGATGGCGTTACCGGTCCTTGCACAATGTTTATTTCTATTTATTTCGTCAACAGGTGCTGCCCTCTGGTGATTTAGTAATCTCTCCATTACTGTGGTCTGATATGGGTAACTTCTCGTGCATAGCTAAGAATGCGTACGGTAAAGATACTGTGGACACTTTCGTTTACCCTCTGAAGCCGTCCAAAGCATAAATGGTGAGTATCATTCAGTAGTAATTTTCTGTAAACATAAAAATCACGTCGTTTATTCCTGAAAGGGGAAATAGAAAAAGATTTCACTAGGTACTTATCGAACCAGGGCAAAGATTTGATAAGAAGATTCTACAATTTCAGATAGATTTGTCTAGATTTCCATTTATTCCCAAAAATGCGAAAAATCTAGTAACACGGTCATCAACAGACATTCAAGAAATAAGATTTTAGTGATCTTTTGAACGTATCAACCTAAAGATAGATAAGCTAAGAGTTAAAGTGGGTACCTATTACCAATGTATTAATTTTACTTACTATTTATACCAACTAACATTAACTAACATATACATTTTTCTTTGTTCCAGCGCCTACCCCAACCTGTTTGACAAGAAACGTTACCCGCCGATTTAATCTCGATGTTCCTATTATTAAGTGACGTTTAAGCTTAACTTAACTTATTATTAGTCCCTAAGTTACAATGTATACAACAAAGTAATATAAGTACTTAATATATTTAAAAAAATATTATTTAATAAGTTTATATGACATTCAGCCGTACACAAATGTTGATGAAAACGAAATAAGAAATGCAAAACAGACTGAGATTCCATTTTTTAAATTGACATTAATTTTAAAAATAAAATAAGAGTCTATTTTGTCATTTCAAAAATAAAATAATTAGATCGTGGTCGAGAGACTTACAGGTATTCCAATTGTCAGATTCAAAAATCAATTTATAATTTTTATTTCATGAATTTAATTTATTTACGCCTGAATTGATGCGACTGGATTTTTAATAATAATTTAATCGAGTTTTAAGTTATTCCCTACTATTATTTTGTGATTTTATTTTATAAGAGATTTATTTTGTAAATAAATACATACATTATGACATTACCTACTATTAGTTGTATTGTACAGTTGGATAAATCAGCCATTTTAATATAATGTTGTCAGTTTATAAACAATTTAAAAATTCACGCAATCTCAATATATTTCTTACATTTCTGTGTAAATTTTGCTTAGAACCAGTGTCTCAATGATTTCGCTGACTGTACTTAGTATAAATTGATGTTAATACATACGATCTCTGTGATTTTTGAAATAAATGTTTTATTATTACACTTTTTATGTGTTATATTTTCGATTTTTTCGTAACCTGTGCCTTTAGCAAAACGCCACTTTTTTATGTTGTCTACAGAGAGAGTAGAAATCAAAATGTATAGGGATGACACTGACAAGTGTCAAAATTTACGTCAATTTCATATATTTTAGTTTTGTACTCTACAAGTAGACAAACGCTAAATAGCATTGGCTACAGCTGCTGTTATCTAGCTAGCTGCCTCGTTGGCGGTTTCATGCGAGAATTAAATCGATGACACGTTGCACTGCAGCCGGTTATTCATCCACTACACTAACTATAAAGTCTCTTAATCAATTGTCATACTCATTAGATATAATATATTTCTGTGGTCATAGCATAGTTTACTATAAATATCAGCATCATCAACAGCCTGTGCTCGTCCACTGCTGGACATATGCCTCTTCATGAGGTCATCTCTGAGTTCCATCTTCAGCTCTTTGCATCCAGCCACTGTCAGTGACACAGCGGACATCGTCACTTCATCTAATTGGATAGCTTATAAATATATTAGCTAGCCCGGCTAACTTCATACCGCCTCAAACACTATTATATATATATTTCAAGACTAAAATTTTAAGACCACTTACGACCACTGCCTCGTTGGCCGAGTGGTCGTAGTAAGTTCAACTGACCCCTTCATTACGAAAGTACAGTAAAAAATTGGTTTCCGTTTTCATTACCACCGACATTTTTTTTAAAACCCAGTAATCGAACCCAAGACCCCTCGCCTGGCAGTCGCATTTGAGACCACTCGACCAATGAGGCAGTCAGTAGTTATTTAGCCGGCAAGGGGTGTCGGGTTCGATTCTCGGGTCGGGCAAAGTATTACTGGGTTTTTAAATATTCTCAGTAGTAGCACGGACTCTGGAATTGTGCCCGGTATGGCAATAGGCTCATCCCCTATTACATGGGACTCGTAACATAAATATTGAAAAGTAGGTGTTACCTCTATATTGTACAGTAGTATAATGTGCACCTCTGCCTAACCCTTCGGGGATAAAAACGTGATATTATGTTATGTTACGTTCAAGACCAAAATTAGCCAAATCGGTCCAGCAGTTCTCGAGTTTTAGCGAGACTGACGAACGGACATTCATTTTTATTTATAAGAAGATACTTTGTACTAGGTACTAAACTAGAGACACTATGAGGTAACCACAATCGCCCGACCAAAGGACCATCACATTAGAAAGGAGATGCGAATTGGTTCACTTACCTTCACGACCTTTGCAGAATAAATGGTCGGTTAGAGACCACGTTACTTTATAATGGGTGCGTTATTATAACTAGGATGTCCATTATCGACTTCAATATTTATGAAATTAAGTATTAAAATATGAGTAGTTCACAGTGACGTGTTTATTAAGTTTAAAAGCCATGATTTGTGTAAAATTATTATTTAAGTTGTAAGTAAATTTGGTACCTAAATACACTATGATGTCGCGGAGAACCTAACGGGTTACCGGGGCTCCGACTCGAAGTGCAGGAGAAAGAACGGGGTGGTTTTTAGTCAGTAAGAGTCAGACACTCCATCCCGCCTCACCCAGGCGGGAGCAGTCATTCGATGATTTTCCCCCCTTAAAAAAATACACTATGATGACAAGGACAACGGACACAAACAGTTAAAAACAATATGACTATTTAAAATCTTTAAATAAAAAGACTGCCTCGTTGACCGAATGGTCGCAAGTACCACTGCGGGGCGAGGTATTCCTCGTAGCGCTCCCGTTTAGAAGCGCGCCCATATAAGCGCTCCCGTTTTATTAAAAATATTAAAATTGATTTCCTCGAATATAACAATTAAGAATATGACATCTTACGACTACCATCAAGTGTGAGGTATTTAGCATGCGCGCGCGCATCGTGCAACGGAAGAAAGCCGCGCCCGCACAGCCAAGGTAACGTACTCAGTTATGATCGCGGAGTAATGTGAAGAATGGAGACGAATATATTTAAATATTTATTTAAATTAAAAAAAACTAAAAGACTGCTAGATCACTGGCATCATTTAAAAAAAAAACCGTTGCCCCACATTAGGATTTTCGCCTGTGTCGTGTGTGCGTTTACAAACATACAAGTTCACATACACAATGACACCCAGACCCGAAACAACAATTTGTGGATCACACAAAGTGTTGTTCCATACGGGAATCAAACCCGCGACACGTTGCACGGCAGCCGGTTGCCCAGCCACCGCACCAACCATGCAGTCTCATCATTAGTCATCATTATCAAAACCCAAACACTGCTATACCTCTACATGATCACGAACAGCTGACATTCCTCTGTTGGATTATGAGCCTTTTTTACATAAGACGAGGGTTGCCATTAGGATTGGCGGTTTGAAGATGACAGTTCGAAAAGGTTCATATTCCTTTAACCAACAACATTCAACGGCTAAAACGTGGCAAATATTGCAATCAGATGAGAGATAGTAACTGATACAGGTATCGAAGTAGAAGATGCATTCGACGGAATATCTACCATCCTATCCATTCCTATGTGCTAGGTAAAGAACGACTGAATAAATAACATGCATACACTACAATAATTTAGTTGTCTAATACCGTTTTTTTATTAATGTTGACATTAAATTAATAGTAATAAAAGAAAACGGCCTTCCTCTCCTACCAATTTGAAAAGTTGCTGTGCCCGACAGGGTCCATAATTAACTATTACTAGTTTTGTAGTATTGTATGTGTACATGTGGATTGTATGCAATAAATACTTGATTACATAAATGCCTATTAATTTCACTAAATCTGATTATAGCTCGAAAGACTGATGGGAAATAGAAAAAGTTGCTTTCACCGACAAGCATGTATGAAAAGACTGTCTTCAGTCTTTGAGGAAGCGAAAGAGGTATGTTAGAATCATAGCAATTGGTGTTCCATATAGAGATATGGAACGTTACGCGGCAGCCAGTTGCCCAAATGTCTGTATGTTATCAGAGAGCGCGGCTGCTCAGACTCTGATTTATATGTAGCGGGTAGCCCCTTACGCCTTTAGGCTTAGGTCACAGGAAGACAAATAGGGTTGGTGACAAATGTGGGTGAGTATTATTCCCGATCCGGAACCGCAGAGGACTTAACGGGTTACCGGGGCTTCAGCTCGCAGAGCAGGAATAGGAACGAGGTGGTTTTAAGTTTTTAAGTGAGGGAGAGCCATGTTTCGGCACGAATGGGCCGGCTTGACCGGAGTGATACTACGGCCTCACAGAAACCCGACGTGAAACAACGCTTGCGTTGTGTTTCGTCGTGTGAGTGAGGTTACTGGAGGCCCAATTACCCCCCTCCCTAGTCCCCCGAATCCCTGAATCTTCCACAATCCTCAAATTCCCAATTCCCAAAAGGCCGGTAACGCACTTGTAACGCCTTGGTGTTCCAGGTGTCCATGGACGGCGCCGATTGCTTACCATCAGGTGATCCGTCTGCTTGTTTACCGTAGGTAAGCACCTATGCTATAATAAAAAAAAGTAAATCTGACACTTCCTCTCGCCTACCCAAGGTGGGAGAAGTCATTGGATGATTTTCCTCAAAAAAGATGAATATTTTACATTTATCTACATTGCCGTAGCCGCATAGCTAATTAAATTGATATAACCTAACCTATTTTCCAAACTTCTTCCGTCAGAAATCGCCAGAAGGTATTATAGCGTTGCATGTCATTATGTGATCAAAAATTCTTTTAACCTTTTCAAAATATAAAGCTAACAATATTAAAATGTCTACATGACTAACGAGATAATCATATAATTATTAACTTTCCATTTTGGACATGCAAACAAAGCTTACCTAACTTTAAGAGGAACTTAATGGTATGCTAAAGATTTTTTTACCTTCCTAGGTATATCATGTGTCAAGTCCGTGACAGATCCCTACTGGACCATAATTCAGCCCATGTTATGTAGAAGAGGCTTGTGATTGTGAGCCTCTACGGAGGGTCTTCAGACGCCATATTGGGTTATCGAGGCTCTGGCTTCTGGAATAAAACCGGGGTGGTTTTTAGTTAGTAAGAGTCTGACACTCCCCCTTACCTCAGAGAAATGGATCAGTTTATCCTCAGAGAAATGGACGATTTGGTACCGGGATCGGATGACATACCGCTACGGTTTTTTTCACAGTCCGTTATGTCTAATAGGATACATAACATTACATAATATCCCGCCTTTTATATTCAAAAGGGGTAGGCAGATGTGCACATTACGGCACTTAATGCCACTGTACAATGAAATACCCACTTTTTATTTATTTATTATTTTATTTTTATTTATTTATTTATTTCAGGCATCACAGGCCCATATCGAATACTATAAACTAATACATTAAAGATTTATAAATACTATACATACATTACAAACAAAATAATTACTCAATTAAGTACTTAATAACTACTACTATTTATTTTACTATTTATGTTATGAGTCCCATGTAATAGACGGTGAGTGTATTGCCATATACCGGGTACAACTCCAGACTCCGTGCTACTACTAAGAATTTTTAAAAACCCAGTAATACTTTGTCAAACCCGGGAATCGACTCCGAGACCCATTACCCGAGTTATACTTGCAACCACTCGGCTAACGAGGCAGAATTACATCAGATCTAAAAAGACCTACAAAACTACCACGGAACCTGAATAAACTTATTATAAACTTCTTTTCTATAGTAGTCCTAAGTCAACCCAAGTTCAACTCCAAATTAAGACAAAAGGCACCAAATAACAACAAAATAGATAACACGTCTCCATAGAACCAGTCTTCCTCAACCGCGCAGCCTGACCGGGTAACATTTGCCAAAGGTTAAGTTTAACTGAACGATAACATTACTACACTTAACTACATATATTAACCGACTGACGAATTGTGTGAGGTCATCTATGTACTGGTAGCTTGATACAGGGATTTGTGAAGTATGCTTATAATTGTAAAGGGATGGGTAGAAGTGCAGGTATGTTTGTCCGGTTTTGGGCCGTGTTAAATAG